AGAGTGAAACAATCAGCGCCCCTCTAGATGTTATGGTGAAACAGTAGATTGCATTCACTGTTGCGAGAGGAGGCTAGTCAGATTGGGCTTCCCTTGGTGAAAAAAATTGAGGGATTGACCAATCAGATGAGGCCCATGTGATGCCCCTGCCAACCTGTGATTGGTCAGGGCCATGCCAAGGGAAGCCAGGTGCTTCTGGCTTCCCTTCAGAGGCGGCTACGGACTGAGCTAATTACAGAGACGAGGGCCCTTTCTCATGTCTTCAAATGTTCCTCCTCGACTCCCCTCCTCGACTCCTATCCTCGAGACTTATGGCGCATTTCCATTGCAGCGCGTAGCTCGCTTTAAGCGTGCCGTGTCGTGCCGTCCCCTTTTTTGGTTGTGCTTCCACTAGGCCTCGTTCCGGTGCGGCACGGCGCGGGGCCACTTTTTCCCCTCTTTTCTGGCCCTAGAAAATTGTGGTTCTATCGGGGCCAACAAACAGGGCTGAGTCGGGCTGAGTATGCTAAACTAGAGAGAGGAGCGCTGGCAAGAGGGCTAGGACTACAACAAGATGGACATATTTGACCGTGATTTAATTGTAATACACGTTTCAAAATGATGCCGAAGTAACAACATACTGATACCGGTTAGTAAAAACCATGAATTAATGCTTTGTCAAGTCTGCAGACAGACGGCAGGCGAAAAACCTTTTAAAATTCGTGTTTTTCTAGATGGAGATTGGCTAAGCTAACGCAGTATATGCCCCGACCGTCCACACTCACAACAACGGCCTATACAGACATAAATAAAGCAGCGACTGTATTCACCATGACACAGGCAGTCTATGGTGTGTACTTGTTTAACTTTTGTCGAGTTTCTGAATATATATAAGGAGCTGTGAGCTAACGGCTGTGTTGTGTTTCTGGATTTCTCATTGAAGATGACGTCACGGCTCCGCCTACACTGCGTTACTATAGTAACTACCCCAGTTCCTAAACTGTAATGGAAGCGCAGCATGAAGTGAGTCGGCCCTGTTAAGGCCCAACGCGGCCAAGCCGTACCGAGCCGTACCGAGTGTGGCCGAGGCCGACCGTGTAGTGGAAATGCGCCATAAGTCCCGCCCACAGGAGATGCGACCGGAGGAGCCGAGGAGGGGAACCGAGGAGAGAGGAGGGGAAGCAGCAGGCGGTTAGAGAAATGAGAACTCCTCTCCTCTGAGCGGTCATTTTAAAGAGACGTCCATTAATGATGACAGGAGGCACAGCAGCCCTCTGTCTGATGGACAGATGTGTTCATGACGACTTATATATTTACTTTTAATTCATTCACAGTGCGGTATAATGAGACAATAACAGGCTACAGATGCGGACATACACACAGACACACAGACACACACACACAGACACACACACATATATGTATATATTTATATAAATATATACAATTTCAGAATCAAACAGAGCACTCTCATAATAACGTAACACTATCAGAGACTGGATATATCCCCCCCCCCCCTCTCTGGTCGCTACAATGAGGGAAATAAATGACGGGCCAAAAGTTTTATTTACAAGTATTACAAGTAAGCAGAGGACACCAAACCAACTGAGACCTGTCTGTCCGCTGCATCTACGCACACACTGTGCCACACACACCTACACCACACACACGCACCTACAGCTTCTAAAGCATATAATCAGGCTACAGCCGTTGTGTATTTTATTATGTGAAGCACTAAATGGTTTTAGAAAAATATCGACTTTGTTTGTAGATATCTACTAAACTAAAGCAAATAAAGAGAGTAGGCCTGTTATACTGAGTGATATGATATATATTATACACACTGCTCTGCTTTCTGCACGGACCTCACAGCTGTTCTCACTGTAAACATCGCGTCGCGATGAAAGCAGTTAATAAAATAATATCCAGGGGATGCATGCAGAGCTGTCATTGGCTGAGATAAGTCCGGCCGTGCGTCTCGACTCTTTGAAACATCACTGTTGCCGGAAATGCATCCACGAAGGAGCCGTGGAGGACTGTGGAGGACCCGTCAGTGTATCCTCGGTTATAGCTCCTCCAGAGAGCCTCCTCGACGCTCGATGCTCGGTCCTCGATGTGCATTTCGAGAAATGAGATGTCCTTCAACATGGCGCGCTAAAATTCATTTCCGGGTCACTACCGGAGGACCGAGGAGTCGAGGAGTCGAGGATGGGACATTTGATGACATGAGAAAGGGCCGAGGACTGTTGCTGCACTTGCCGTGTGTTAGAAAGGGAAGGGAAGAGAAGGTGGACTATCGCATGCAAATGTTTCTGTACATAATTGTTTTTGAATTCATGTGTTTCATACACGCCTACTAATACTTTGATGTGTACATACAACTTTAAAGGTCTCCTGATTTACTTTGTGAATGAATGCACTGCGCATTGAGCGGCTGGTATTGCATTTGGGGGGGGATGTGTCTGCATAAATTAATAAGAAAATGCTTAAATTAATAAAACGAGAGTTTCGGCTGGAGAGTGCGTGCGGACCAGTCGGTTAGATAACAGGCGTGTGCAAGTCCTGCATCTGTGTGATACAAATGTGTGTAAAATGATACCGGGCGCTGTAATCACTCATCTGGTTACGTTATTGACCACCCCCCCAACCAACCCAAAAAAATGGGCTTCCCCTAAATTTTTCCCCACGCCACGCTACTGCCTAAAGCATATAATCAGGCTACAGCCGTTGTGTATTTTATTATGTGACTGACTACTAAACTAAAGCAAATAAAGAGAGTAGGCCTGTTATACTGAGTGATATGATATATATTATACACACTGCTCTGCTTTCTGCACGGACCTCACAGCTGTTCTCACTGTAAACATCGCGTCGCGATGAAAGCAGTTCATAAAATAATATCCAGGGGATGCATGCAGAGCTGTCATTGGCTGAGATAAGTCCGGCCGTACGTCTCGACTCTTTGAAACATCACTGTTGCCGGAAATGCATCCACGAAGGAGCCGTGGAGGACCGTGGAGGACCCATCAGTGTATCCTCGGTTATAGCTCCTCCAGAGAGCCTCCTCGACGCTCGATGCTCGGTCCTCGATGTGCATTTCGAGAAGTGAGGGGTGTTTCTCAATCGCGAGTAAAGCTGCTTCAGAGCCACTATTTCAAGCATACTACGTCATCGAGTGCCGCCGAAGTACTGCATACTTGGAAATCTACCGAGCCCGGCGTACTCCGTTTGGAGAAATACCGAGGAGTCGAGGAGGGACATTTGATGACATGAGAACGGGCCAAGCACATGTTTATTTCCATGCAACTCTCTGATTGGTCTGGTGTCATGCCTCTGTTGCATTCACTGAACACGGGAAATTACAGTGCTGCCGTCCTCTCTTGTGTCATGATGAGGTTCACGTAAAGCACGGTTAATGTATTATATTATTGAGGGAGAATTGTCCGGGGCTACAGAAAAAACATTCGGGGCTAAAGCCCCGGATGTCCAGGCCAGGCGACGCCACTGCTGGTAATGTATGATTTGTTGTATTGTAAGACTGTTGCATTGCCTGTATGTTTGTAAGAAGACATGATTAATCTTTGAAAAGAACAAAAAAAACTTTTTACTAACTTGTAGTCTTCTTTGCTGATAGATGTGTGGCAGTATCTTTTTTGGAATGTGAACCAACGCAATAAAAAGTCACATGTGGTCAAGACGTGTTGTGTTGTTTCTCAGCAAAGTGAACTCAAACACACACGCATTGCTCACACGCACACACACACACACACACACACACACACACACACACACACACACACACACACACACACACACACACACACACAAAAATAATAATGCAGAGCTAGACTTATAATTAACACAAGGAAGTAACAATGCCATATATAGTCATGGGGTTTTGAACGGTGGCTTTATTAAAGATTGGGAGGAAGAAACATTTATAGGCATTTGCACACAACTCCATGGCAGTTTAGACTTTTTAGTTTTTAATCCATGCACACACTCATACACACATACACACAGTGTCCATTTGTTAATAGAAGCACTGAGATCTTTAAGTTATGTGAAACACACAGTGTACATATACTTTGTTGGAAGAAAAAAGTAAAAATGTGTGCAGAGAATTAGCATCAAAATGTACTTGAAGTACCAAAAGTAGTAATACATCATAATTCTTGGTCCATTATTGTGTAAGCATCATTAATATTGCAGTGGGGGACATTTGTTATACTTTTAGGTAAACTGTGTATTAATACATATTAATAATCTCATGTTATCTAAACCTAAAATAATGCATGTTAGGTGTTGTGATTGTATTTTGATAAATTATCAGGTAACTAAAGCAGTCACATACATTTTGTGGAGTATTGGTAGCAGTAGTATACAGGAGTAGTAGTATAAAGTACATAGCATAACACAACTCAAAGAAAGTACCTGATAATTCTAACTATGTACTCAGTTACCTTCCAGCACAGCCTTCTACTCAACTGTAGCTCTCTAAAGATGTTGCTATTAACTAGTTTGGTTTTAGGAAATGAGCACACTGATATTATTTAGTCACAGACAGAAATGATAACATGACAGACGAGCAGTGGTGTAAAGTAACTAAGTAAATTGTACTCAAGTACTGTACTTGAGTACAATGTTGAGGTAGCCGTACATTTCTTGAGTATTTTAATGTTGTTTCTACTTCTACCCTCCTACAATTCAGAGGTAAATATTGTACTTTTACTCCACTAGATCTATTTAATAGCTTCAGTTATTTTACAGATTTGGATTAATGATGGGAAATATAATCAACTTTAAGACTTTAGTTTCACCTGGAGTAAATCCACAAGCTACTCTGCAGAATAAAAAGTCATTAAAACTAGCTGCACCTTTACCAGCTTTGATAACACTTTAATGATCAATAATTATAATCAAAACTTATAATATATATTATTCTGAAATGGGCCAATCTCCATAATGAATACTTTTACTTTTGGTAATTGGTAGTATATTTTGATGCTAATACTTTTGTACTTTTTCTTGAATGCAGGACTTTTACTTGTAACAGAGTATTCCTACACTCTGGTACTTTTACTTTTACTCAAGGGCATTTCCATTTGATCTAGTCTGCATGTCTTTGGACTGTGGGAGAAATCTAATGTAAGCAAAGGGAGAGCGTGTATCACACTTTGGATTTGTAACAGTGATAACGCATGCTCCACCGGGACTAAAAGTAAAAAAAATAGAGCATAGAGGTTTATTTTCGCCTATCGCCACTATGGGGCAGCACTGTAAAACATATATATAACATATATTCCTAGACGAGTCATTCTCTCTTCTATCAAAGGCTGGTTTAAAAGTTACAGTTTTTTTCTGAATGCTTGAACACTACTGGGATCCTTGAAGCACTACTGTATCTCTGAAATCATTTAAACTTGTCGCCATGACATTTATCAAGTGCGTCACATCAGGCACTTAAAGCTGTTACCATTAGACTGTCTTTGCTACACTATCTGCCAATTGCACATTCCAAAGCACTATAAAGATGCAAAATAAACAACTAAACATGTTATTTAGGCACCAATGGAAACCAATATCTAATGCCCTTTTGGTGTTTTATTGATAGTGTATTATGTTTGGAATACACATCTATACTCTGCAAATGTGGACACCTGTGTGTGTATTTGAGTTCACAATATTCAGCAAACTGCTATGCCCGGCACACAGGAAAAGCAAAAGCCACAAGCAGCTGCCACATGTAAACTACTGTTGGTGCTTCCTGTGCTTATTCAAATGATGGATCGTGTGCTCTTTATCAACGCAAAAACACAAAAGAGTTAGGGGAATAGTTTGCTTTTAAGAATGTATAGAGTTTTCCTCAAGTAGTCTACTCAGAAAAGAAATGGAGCACACAGGGACAAAGTAAGATCTAAGCTTTGGGTTATTTTTGTTTCTGGCCGAGCGACAAGTTAAACCCCGTGATCACTGCCCTCTAATCTTTGGTTTGACGCAGCCTTTTTCTTCAAGATTGAACCTCCAGCAAACTAAATATATTGCTGGAATGTGTCAACTATTGAGTTAATGAGATTTAGCAAAAATGTTAAAACACACTTCACTATGCATGGCTGGAGCACCATCTAAGGTGTGAGAGGCCTCTCAAGGCGTGTTTTGGAGTTTTCACTCAGTCATCCACAAACTTCTGCTGAAGTCATTTCTGAGAAAAGCCCTTGAACCAACCTGTTCTTCATGACCCGCAGGGAACTTTAGGCTGGCATGATAAATCACTTAGACATATCAGCTTCTAAAGGGACACACATATCTATTTCTTTTCTTGTCAAACTAGGGTTGAAAGTTCAGTACATTTCATGTGTATCGGAGAATGAAGTGCTGTGCGGTCCATTGGGAGGGAGAAAACGTCTTATGTTCACTGTTCCTTTGGCTGCATCAAATCAAGCAGTAGCTAAGATTTAACCAAATGAAATCACCATATTATCCAAATTCCATTCCTTTATGTCTTGTAACCCCAGCAACAAATGTGTCTTGGTTAGATTTATAACTTGAGTTCTAAAGTAAAGGCAACACAACATTTGAATAGTTGTTCAATAGGTTTTTTAAAAAAAAAAGTATTTGTATTAGATTTACATTCTTATAAAAAGGTACATTTCCTTTTTAGACATCACGATGGCTGACTCATTATTTCCGGTTAGAGGAAAACAGGCCCTTAAAAAGGTTTGAGCATATGATGGTGACAGATGAAAGTGTATAAACAGGATGTAGTAATAAACACCGGTTGATAACAGACCACAGGCTGTCATTATTCACAATGAAAGGGATCCTTTGAGTTTCTTCTTGAGCTGAGTGGGTGAGTCAAATAAGGAACGCCAGCAGGCCAGCTGCTTAGATACATTTACTTTACGAAAAAACAACATTGTGATTCACTGCTGTAATTGCATCTTAAGGGACTGGGTGTCAGCCTGTTGTGACTTGGGTTGTTGACTTCACTGTGGCCTCGCCTGCTTAAGAATGTCCTGCAGAAACCCCAGACAACCTTGGACATTATGGTGGAGTGGTGACTTCTTATTGGTGCACTTCAGCTTTTAAAGGGGACCTATCATGCAAAATGCACTTTTTGATGTCTTTTATACATACATATGTGTCCCCGGTGTGTCAGGGAACTCACGCAGCGTCAGAAAACAAAACCCTCTCTCTTTTCCTCTGTACCCAAATCTCTAAAAACGGGGGTACAACGGAGCTGATCCGGATTTGCGTCCGATATGACGTAATATCGTAAATGTGGACCCACGGCACTATCAGAAACGTTGCTATCAGAAACAATGCCCGACGTGTATTTGAAGTAATATGGCCTTTGTTTACATTAGCAAGCATCGCTAACACACAGAGCTAACCTGTACTGGAGAGAGTATGTGTAAAAAAGCAGGAAATAAAAAAAGGTACTCACCTTGTGCTAAACCCGCAAGAGAAAAAGCATTTGAGCTCCATACTGTTTCAGAAATAATCCTTGATGTGGTTTGGAACATAATATGGCATTTAATCACGGCAGCATTTAGCTGAGTATCTCGTAGAATTCTGAGCAGGCATTAGCTCCCCCTCCTCTTTTTTTTTCTTTCAAGCTAAGGACCCCGAACCTGCAGCTCTCTAACAGGCCTGAAATAGAGGGATATGAGGGATGTCTAAAATACATGATCTGTTTGGTATTTTGAGCAAAACACATCATAGACATGTTTTTTTATATATTTGTATATATCTGAGACCCATAATATATACTCCACAACAAGCTTTGAGAGAGAGCTACGGTATCAATTTCAAAATGAAAATGCAAACTGTCATTTCTGTTTCATTTTCTTCAACCTCAAGACACACACGTACAGACACACGTCTCAGTCAGCACGACCACAGACCCCCAGCCATTACTTCCTGTGCGGAAACTTTTTCTAACTATTTGTTGCCTTCGTAGCCTTCAGATGTTGATACTCACTACCGGTAAGTCAGTAGTTACTTTACAGGACGTTTGATTCTTACCAGCAGTCTAATCTATTATAAAAAATGTAACCGCTGTATTATTTTCACACTGTAACACAAATTGGGTTATTATTTGTATTTTGTTTGCCTGTCTGTGATGTATTGATTTTGATTGTTACCTCTTTTGGCCAGAGCACTTAGGAAACGTTTTGTAATGTCAGCGAGGTATACTTTTCTACATACAGCAATAGGCAACATACCATTGGTTATATTTCCACATTACATACACATTAACATGATGTTAACAGTGAAATGATCTTTGTTTTAAGGTGTGATGGAGGATTTTTCTAAATATTTGGGTATCAACTGGACCTTTTTTCTGATTTGTTGCATGTTCTGGATTTTCTCACCAGCAGGTAAAAATCACTTACAACACCCTCGCGCTGACTTTTTGAATAGTACAGGAATAGTTTGAAATTGTTTAAAGTTTCTTTATTAGATCTATACCAATTCTATGTTTGTACATGTATCTCTTGGCAATAAAATGAATTAACATATGTACCAAAATATACCCACGATATTGCTCACACGGTTCAAGTAAACATATAAACATATAATCATTCATCTACATTTGATGATGTTCACAGAAGGAAACAACATCTCGAGGGAGGTGGGCAGCCCAGCGATCCTGCACTGTAACATCAGTTCAAACAGCACGCTCAATCAGCTGACATGGAAGATGAACAGAGTGCTCCTTTTCAGTTTCAGGCCAAAGGAAAGTTTACACAAGAGTGACGAAGCTAAACGACTGAACATTAATATGTCAGAGAGCCACCCGTACGCCCTGGTCATAGAAAGAGTCCAGAAATCTCACGAAGGGAACTACACCTGTGAGATCAGCACGGTGATGGGAGTTGAAGAATGTAAATGGGAGCTGAAAATCACTGGTGAGCTAATACGTCTTAAATTATAAGGACATACTGTATAAGTAACCCTTAAGGAAAGAGCAAAGGAAATAGGATGTAAACAGGAACAGGGGGAATGTTGGATTTTAAACAGAGACAACCATTGTATGCTACTGCTACTAGATAGAGTTGCTTTTACACATTTTCTGAGATTTTGATTGTGGATTTTGAAGTATAACTCCGTCAATGCACACAATATTAGTAATGTAATGCCATGAGTCGCAACCACAGCCTCAACTTCCTTTATGAAACAATGATGTCACACACACAGAATCACCCTGTCTTTCCATGGTATTGAGCTAAATGTAACTGCATATTAGACTCATAAAAACTGTTTTTATTCCCCCAGAGGAAGTGGTACCTGGAAATCTAAACACGCTGATGGTTGTTGCGGCAGTTGTTGTCCCTTGTGTGTGTTGCTTGATTTTTATACTGGCTTTAATCATTCTGTATAGATGTCATAAACAACGTGCAGAGTAAGTTGCATCCAGTACTTATTTATTTAACATCTTATAACGTACACACAAATATTTGGGGTTAATGGCATTATACTCTAACACATAAACAAAATGTCTTTCTCTTTCAGGAACTGTTCTCGCACCTCAGAAATGGTAAATGATTTGTCATTAGGATGATTCACTGTTATGTAATATGTTTTGCAGAGATACTCACATTAAAATGAGCTGCAGTTGTACTGGAAGACAAAACGTAAATGACTTTGGTCCTTTTTTTCTTTAACAGCAGCCAGAAGAAGTAATTTATGAAAACTGTCTGGAAAATGATGTCATACAACAACATGGCTATATTCAGCCTCTCCCTTTCAAGACTAGGTCTAGACAAGGAGGGGCTCAGTACTGAGCAGGTAGAGGATCGTCTATTTTTAGAGTATTTTTGTTGAAAACACATGCCTTGTGGCTGTTCTCTAAATGAAGGCAGAAGATGAAAACAATGTGCCAGAAGACGCTACAGCACTGTGGATCTGAGGGAAACAACACCTTCTACCCTTCCTTTTCTTTTCTTTTTTACCTTTATTTAACCAGGATTGGTCTCATTGAGATTAAAAATCTATTTTTCAAGAGAGTCCTGGCCCAAGAATGGTTACAGCACAGTTACAGACCATTTTAAAACACACAATCACAACACAGTCATACACCAAGTTTATCCAAAGCATTTACAGACACAGCGGCCTGCTTCAAGGTCAGTTAGTAGCTTTTAGTCTGTTTAAAGAAACCAGCTCTCTGAGTTTCAGCTCAGTTTGAAGCTGGTTCAGGAGTAGCGTAACTGAACGCCCTCTTCCCCAGTTCACAATCAGATTTAGGGGGACCAAATTATGGAATGCCTGTCAGAATAGCGTACCTGTATTAAGTGTTACAATAACCACAGAAAAAAACTATTTATCTACTTTTTGTAACAGTTGTTCACTTTGAAGAACTATAATATATACACATACTCATACACTTTGTGTCCTTCTTTTTATACATTTGTGTTATATGTTAATATAGTATGCTGTTGTTATGGTTTGCCATCAGTATTGAATTCCTAATATTTCTTGTATATTAATCTTGTGTTGTCTATAACATTGTGAATTCTAACATTATTTGGGGCGAGGTTTTCTGCCTTTTCCTGTACTGTATAATTTAACTGTTGTGTTTGTACATTATGTTGAACATTTTGAATGTAGTTCATTAAAGGTACATTGCTACCAAAAAGACTATGAGGAGTTCAGCAGATAGATGTGAATACAAAGAAAACTGTTGAAAAAATGATTGATGAGGATACCAAAGGGAGTCCTGAAGAGCAGCTAAGCTTCAACAGCTCACACAGATATCCCATAAATCTTAGATTCTCTGTATGCTTCAGTAGATAATGGTAGTAAAGCTTAAGGGAGTTTACCAGTCATGTGATACTGCGACCACAAGATCACCATTACGCAACTCGATGGCGTCTTTTATTACCATGTCTGGCTCTGTAATAACCATTTATATGAAACGCCCAAATTCCAGGCTTTTAATTAAAGTTATTAAAAGTTGCCTCTTTTTCTTGTACTGGGTCCCAGTTTGGTTTCTACTGCACAGCACCACAACAATACAAAGTACCACCATGAATGTTGCACATTTACATCCTGCCACTGGTTTCCTTTGTTCTGTCGTTGACAGCTGGAGGCGGTAATGTGTCGAATAAACAACTGAAGTGGAAGACTGTTAGCAAGTCAGCATGGAGGCGATGGAGGATTAAAATGAAGTAAAACATGAGCTTTGAAAATTACTATTGAAATATGTGAGTGACACGGTCAATGTTCATGCTTACAAGTTATTGTAATAACATTACAAAAATATGAATCTCTGCTTTAAGAGTTTTAATTTTTGTTCGCACCACAGTGTTACACCATTATTGAAATGGAAGGGAACCTATTATGCAAAATCCAGTTTTTCATGTATTTTCTACATAAACATGTGTCCCCTCTGTGTAAAGATATTCTGAAAGTTTCAGGAAAAAAGATTCTCTCACTTTTTGTCCTGATCCATTTCTATAAAAACCTGTCTGAAAATGAGCTGATCAGATTTTGGCCACTTTATGATGTCATAACGATGTTTTGGCTTGTGTAACCATTAGCCAATCACCAACCAAGGTAACACTCTCCCCACCTTATCACCTGAATCTCCCCCTAGAGCACTATTGTGTTCTTTTTAACCAAATATCTCTCGGGCGTGGGGAGTGGCTCCTTATTTTCATCTAAAGTAAAAGATAGAGAATCAGCACTTTTGAAACAGGGCTGAAAGAGAGGGGATTATGGGATGCTGCAATCAGGGTAGGAATTTCACGGCGGCTATGACGGCCATGGCCGTCGTTGCCAGTCGGTCTGGCTGTTAAACCCCGAAAATAATTGTACGTTCTACGGCCACAGTGGCCTTTGTGCCCCTCACACTGTTAATATCTCGAAGTTGCTTTAAAAGCGTCAGAGCAGTGGTCTGGTCTCTGAACTGCATTATGCTGCATTCACACCGGACGCTCTAATCGCTCTAGTCTCACCGTGGCTAGCTGTGTTTACTCCTGTCATTCAAACAGGACGCGCTGGAGAGGGGTCGGGGCTTATCTCCATGTAAATGCTGTGGTAAAAACCAACTACAACAAAATGAACATATTTTACCGTGATTTAATTGTAATAATTAAAAATGATGCCGAAGTAACAAAATACTGATAATGGTTAGTAAAAACCATGAATTAATGCTTTGACAAGTGTGCAGAAGACGGCAGGCGAAAATACGATCATATCCACTACTTTTGTGTCTCGAGTGCCGGTGTTCTCACACACAAGCATACGCACACTCGCACCAACAAAAACACACACATGATAAACAACCTCTCCATATTTTAATAATAATAATAAATTGTATTTCTATAGCGCTTTTCTTGAACCCAAAGACGCTTTACATTTGGAGGGAGGGTAGACAAACAAGGACAGGCAAAAAAACTAAAAAACAAAACAGAAAAAGCAGTCAGGAGGAAGTTGAGGAAATTGAGGAAGTTCTAATTTTGCCTTAGACTATTTTTATGGAAGTCACGGCGATCTCTCAAAGCTGTGATCCGAAAAGGGTAACTTCCTCTTTCTATCCATCAATAATGTCACTCTGTTATCACAATGCCATTCTAATCCAAGCACCTTTCAAATTGCAGCTTAATAAAATGTTTTAAAGAGGATCTATATTCATGTCTGCAGTCCTAAGGCAACTTTCTAATTGTAAGAAAGTCTTCAATGTTCTTACCTAATTTGATATACAGTCATATGATCATAATTACAAAAATACTTTTGTTTTATATTTTTGTAAATATGCTCATATGACTGTATTTTAAAACACAGTGTACTTAAGCTCTTAAAGAAACTATTTGGGCTGGGTGGCGCTCTATAGCTTAGGGCCAATAGGAGACCTCGATGCATTCTTTACCCTCCTCATTAGCATTCTATGCAACTAGTGTGACTAGTGCACATTTGGGATCCACTAGTACTAGTGAACATTTTAAGCCTCACTAGTTCACTAGTTGAATTTAAATGTATCTCACTAGTTAACTATAAAGGGCAACGGGTTCACTAGTTAACGTGTAGACATTTTGAGCCCCACTAGTTAACTAGTAAGGTCAAAAGAGGCGTCAACTAGTTAACTAGTGAACCTTTTGCCTTTACTAGTTAACTAGTGAGTGATTCTGGGTGCTACTAGTTAACTAGTGCAGACACATGTATGCCTCTAGTTAACTAGTTCTGCTTCTTTTTTGTAACTAGTTAAAGGTGGGGTAGGTAAGTTTGAGAAACCGGCTCGAGATACACTTTTTGTTATATTCCATGGAATGCTCTTTACATCCTGATAGCAATAAATATCTTAAGTGCTTTGACAAAAAATCCATAAAAAATGTCATCTGTGGAAGCCGTAGTACTGTAAAAAGCACGACCAATCATTTTAGCCGGCCCGGCTAAAATAACTGGATGGCCTACCAGCCTGTCAGCCTTCCATCTGTGCACAAACTTATCTCGTGCCCTCATTGGTCATGTGCGCGTTCGTGTGTGTTGGAGGAGGGGCTCTGTAAGGAAGTGGCAGATTTTCTCCGGTTGTGTATTTTCAAATTCTAGCGCATTCGAGCTGGTTTCTCCAAAATTACCTACCCCACCTTTAACTGTACACTGTATCCCAACACTGTGTACCCACTAAATACAGAAATACGAGGGATTTGTAAAGTTTATTTACATACAGGTTGAAAGAAAGGTATATGACACTCTGAACATTGACTTAACGCAAAACAGATATATTTGGATCTGACACTTTTATTAAACTACTTTTATTAAACTACTACTAATGTTACTGCAAAATAACAAAAAAACAAAAATTGCAGTATATTCAAGCAAATCTAAAAATATTAAAGGAATGTGAATCACAAACAGCAACTGAAATAGTAAAATGTGCATAAAACGTAAAGCCGATATTCTATAATGAGAAGGAAAAGGGAAATAGCTGCCTTAGTACAACAAAATTATACTTTTATTTGCAGACACGATACGATACGAGACACTGCAACCCCCAAAACAAAACTTCTTATAATGAACATATCGATCATCATAAATAACTTGACCAATGAACATAGCTATAGTTTACGCTCATATTAACAGCGGGCAGAGTGCGTTCATTTAGTGGCTTAATTATATACTTCATATTTTTATTAAATAAAGGTTTCCGTATTTGAATGTCTTTGACACGGTTCAGATGTATTTCTTACAACATACAAAACATTTTTGATTTACGCACGAATAATTTACATTTTCAATTGAAATAAGAGTGAATATGTGTGCAAGAAATAGGGGGAATTAAGTAGATCGGATTTATTGTTCCTCTCCTCCAAAACAAATACATTCTTTCAAAATAAGCGCTGTGTAGCAGAATTTGAGGAATAAGGAAAAATCTAGATAACCCATAACCCAAAATGGAAAAAAAGACACTCAGGATAAACATATTAAAAATACACGTGTAACTACAACGAAGAAGGATATATTTAACTAAACATGATTAAAATCTTGGACTATTAATCTAAGGACGAAAACTAGTCTAAAATGAAATCTAGGAATGTTTTTTTTGTCACTCTAGTGTGAGCTTGGTATTGTGTGAAATGTGTGGACAGCTATTTGATTAATTTAAATACAAATAACATTGGCATAGATATTCAAAATCCCCAGGAGATGAAGCCTTAAGGACTTTCTATGTTTGTAACAGATAGGTTTTAATAGAACAATAAGATATCGCTACATCCGCTGCATATTTTAACACAGGATGTAGGCCAAAGGATATCATTTTAAGATGGAGAACAAGATGGAGGATAAATCAGAGGCCGGTTCATGTATGTCCCTTGGACTACTTTTATGTAAAGGAATTTTGTAACTTTTAAAATCTTAACTAAGGAAACATTTTTGAAACTTAACATAACCTGTACAACCCAAGTAACCTCCCATTATGATGTATGCCAACATGATGGCTTTAATGATTTCAATAAGAGCCAATCAAACACTTTATACTTTGTTTAACTGATAATTATCAAATATATTTAGGAGATGAAGATGCAGTCCAACTTTATCAATAATATAATAATGTTTTTCTACAGTTTTCGTAAGTCAGCTCTTCATTTTGACCTTCACTTAACTTAAAACATCATTCATTCCTTTTTTGCTGACTTTGGGGTCTTTCTGTTTTAAGCTTGTTTACCCATAACATTGGAGGAAGCTATACACCTATTCAAAGATAACAAAGAGCTTGGCTGACTTAAACACAACTAAAACATTGTCAGAGCAACAGTTTCAAAGCAGAGCAAATGTTTTAGCACTCAGTAGATAATAGTAGTAGTCAAAAATTACATGAAATGTGATGGTGCTTAGAAGTTCAGCAGCTCACAGATAAGACTATGTTTAATGTGATAGCGGCTTCAGAGCATTGATCCAATCGATCTTGATCATATAAATAAAATGTTTAATATAGGCGTTGGTTCAAATAAAATTAGGGGTTTAGAATGTAACATGTTCTTTTGTACATTCTTCTCAACACTGACGGTATTCTCTTACATACTGTACGCATTTGGTATAAGGAAAACGCATCATTAAATATACTGTGTGTCAGGAAAGATTGGTCTGTCTGTTATCTGGCAACATTGTAAACACAAAAACAACACATCAAGTCCAGCTTAGTAAAACATTTTAAATAAATTAAGAAATGGTATTGAAATTTCTCAGCAATATTTAGTTTGGCCTGTTAGGTTGTTTCTTGTGTGGTTGTAAACACTCTTTATAATCCTCTGCTTTGAGCAACAGTGAAACGAGCAGTGTGAAGGATTACGGGAGATCCAATAGGAGAAATTGATTATAGTATCCAAGTTCTCATTGGTGTAACCTGAAATTAAGAACTGTTTTTTGTTTGCCTAGAATGAGCCTCTTATGAGTCCGTCATTTCTCTACAGTGGCCCAGAACAGATACAACAAACTCTGGCTGTAGAGAGCCTTCATTCTTTGTATATCAACTGAGAGCCACTGTAGATTGTAAAAGTGTGGGAGAAAACCAGAAGGGAAGTAAGTATCGTGGCAGTTACAGCCGTTACTGATAGTGCAGCCTCTCAAGATTAAAGCCAAATCTCAGATAACACTGATGCACGCGTTAATCGGTCATGCAAACTTTCCATTTCAGTCAGCCATAGACAGTACACATTCATTAAAGGCTTTGAAGCTTCCACTTTTTAGCTTGAAAAATACTTTCACTATATACATTCTCCACAAAACTTTATCTATTTGTTTAGAAATGAACCAAATATAATTGTAAAGGCTGTTATCATAGGACATTACCATACAAAGCACCTAGACAGCTGCACCTGCTCCCTAACAGCTGAGTCAGGAGGGAAACATGCCGAGGAGAGTCCATCTGCACTCCACCCTGCTACTCCCATGGACTTCAGGAAGATCCCTATGGCAGACAATACAAAACATTTAAGTGAAGAAGCGCTTTTTAAATGAGTATGCCAAGAGTGTAAATGTATTATATAAAAGAGCATCTAAAAAAAGACACAAAAAACACATGTAATACTTTAAACACTAACTGCATTAAAAAAGATTAGATAGTTGTTTTTGAGGAACACAGATTTCACAAAATTAAATTGAACAAATTACCTATTAAACATACTTTATCGACCCATTAGACTGGAATCTTGTCAAACTTGTTGCTCTTCAAGTGGAGATGAATTCGTTGGGACAGGCTGCCTGTCTCCGCTCCTGGATAATTAACCACCAATTAATATTAAAGAACACATATACATAGTTAAACAGTAATTGCCTGTATGATTGGCAGAGAACATGTGTATTGCAGTTAAGTGTTTGTAGAACATCTGTATTTATTAGTACCATTGAATCCTTCCAGATTTGTAAAAGTACCCTGCTGCAGCCACAGCAGCGACAATCAGGATGAACAAAAGGCTGAATAAGACCCAACAAGCAGTGCAGTTTCCTGTAGAGACAGACAAACGTGTATATAGAGAAACAGGAATTAAACACTGGCAGTTTATAAAAAGGTACATCTAACCAAATCTGATCCCAACTTAAAGCCTAATATATTAAAAATGAATGTATTTTAGGCTGGGCATATCTCTGGCGGTCAAACTGATCAGGTCAGAAGGAGCTCTGGGTTAAACTAGAGAAAACTGGAGAGGGAACATTGACTCCTCTTTCATTACAAGTATGGAAGCCCTGAAAGGGAATTAAGAAAATAATTTTCTGGTGATCGACTTCCTAATTCTGATCTACATAATTGTCTATCCTGTGTTTATGACCTAACAGAGTTAAAAAAACAAGGTCTACATGTGAAAAAAGGTTTTGCCATGTGATTTTATCCTGTCGAATAATTGTTTTGCTAGTCAGCCTCTTGTGGCCTAAATTGTTATTATAATATCAAGCAAAACATTTTTGCTACACAGATTACTGTTTAAACTTAGTAACAGTACCCATATTTATCTATGTTTTCCAGCTGTTTTTAGGTCATAAACACAGGACAAAAAGCTATTTAGATCAAACTGAAGTGTGGCTTCGTACTGTGGCGTAGTGTACTAACAAGTGTTATGTATTTTAATTAATTTTACTTTAAAATATCATTTTAACTTGTTAGTTTTTTTTAATTAAACTGTATATAGAACAGATACACAAATGTCATCTCTTAATACATGCTTGGTGGGATCAAGTTCCTGAGTAAGTACATGATTAACCTCAATGAAATGCAGTTTAATGCTTCAACAAGCCAACATTAGCATCATTTACTAATACAAGCAGCAAGTTCCCTGTTTCTGTGTTTCCTTTTCTGAATTGATGTAATTTTTTTTATGAAATCAAAAAGCATTTACATGACACCACCAAAAAACAGAAAATAAATGCAAGAATATATATATAAAACAAATATCTAATTAGTATAGGACATGCTTTCCAAGAATGGTTACCATTATAAGTGATATTCATCTGGAGACCCTATATTCATTAAAGATTACTTTTTTTAAGTTGTTGACAGTATACTTATCCAGACACTGTTGTCTTTAAAGCTATAGAGATCTACTTTGGTTATTAATGATGTAATCTTCACAGAACCAGTATTATAGAGAGCACACGTTTTGCAGAACTGCAACACACTATGGAACGCTTGTCCATTCCCATGAAATATGTATATATGATATGTCATTAGTCAAGCATTTCCAACAAGTGCTGTCAGGCCTCAGCTCAACTCTCCCCCGCCTACCACAATGAGACACAATGAGACCTTCATAATGTTTTTAACAGTCAGACAGACATTCTTGGAGATAGACTGAGCACTTCTCCAGACATCATTTCATTTCTTCATTTCATTTTTTATAAACATGTTTATATCCCATCTTGTATTTATAAAGCAAGCACCTTTCAGCTGGGACACTATATGTTATTTTTGTATTTCATTTGAGAAATACTTATGATAGTAAACATTTGGCTGTTGCTTTTGCCTGATTCCTAAAAGCAGTAACTGAACGTCTAAATTGAAAATAACAGCAGTTAGGAAATAGGAAACAGATTAATTCAAAAGATAAAACGTCATGTTTCCTCAGACCTCATGATCATTTCCTGCATTGGAGTGTTGGCTGAAAGTAAACCATATTGCATTTTCTAACTCTCTACAATCTCATTCTCAGGGATGGGAGGGTGAAACGGACATGCCTTTAGCTCCTGGGCGGATACCGAAACATTCCAAAGCCCACAAACACCATTTTGTGTCCTGGTCTGACCTTTCAGGTAGTCATGGCTACAATAGCTCGACAGAGAAATATCCAGGAGTTATCCAAGTGAAATACATGCTGTGATTCAACTCCAGGACTAGCTGTATAAGCTTCTCCTTTGTATTGGTTACACTTCTAACATAAATTCATTTTGCAGCAATACATCCACAAAACAATCAAAAAACAAAAACACAGAATTAAGAACAAATGCAAAAACCCAATAAAACATTTACAGACCTTACCTGAAGCCACATACACACGGAGCTGTTGTTGTTTACTTCCATGTTGGTTAGATGCTTCACACTGGTAGAGGCCATTAAGGTCAGGGGTCATTTCCTTGAGCCGTAGCACTGCACCCTCTCTGACAGCAGACTGAGGCCACGGGAGCTCGATTCTGGAGAGGGGAGAGGTTAACTCGTTTTCACACGATTTAAAACAACGACAAGCATTTTTGGTATTTAAATGACATGGGGAAATAAAATACATCAACGTATCGCCTTGCAGCTTGGCAACAACTTACTGTAGGGAAAACAAAACATAGTTGGAATCAAACATGAACAAGATCTTACAGCTTGAAAGAGGATACATTTCAATGAACATTTGTTGTTTCAGCAAGTTATGACAACGTAGCCTGTGAATAAACAACATAGGCTAGTGCTGGTCATCTACACTGCTATCTTCCTATTGTAACAACCACACTCACTTCACTGTTAGACATTCCCTAATTTAAAGGGGACCTATCATGCAAAATGCACTTTTGTACGTCTTTTATACATGAATATGTGTCCCCGGTGTTCCAGGGAACTCACCAAGTGTCAGAAAACACAACCCTCTCTATTTTCCTCCATACCCAAATCTCTAAAAAAGGGGCTGCAACGGATCTGATAAAAACTGATCCAGATTTGAACACTTTACTGACGTCAGTAAAGTGGTGCTACGGCTATTGGGCCAACTCTCCACCTATCAGGGGAATGTGGGGTTGGGCCACGGCCGGTCAAAGGTCTTCTTTGTTATTTATTGAGCTTTAAAACAAATGAATAACGACTCTATATAATAAAACACGGAGGACTGAGATCTATTTTTCTCCCCCTCTTCTGACTTCATCAGAGCACGGCTCCCCTCTCCTGCAGGGGGGCGTGGTCAGCTGCAGCTCACAGAATCAGCCCCGTGCAAAAACAGTGCTGGAGAACAGCAAAAAGAGCGAAATGAGGCATGGCTAAAATGCATGATCTGTTTGGTATCATAGGTATGGCCCTACAATATATCATTTAAATATAGCATGATAGGTCCACTTTAATCTACATATTTTAGGCTATACTTTAGCTACTCACCCTAAATTGTGGTTTTCCACTTATTTTTCGAGCAAATATAGTCACTGGCCTCAAATGTTGCCTTTATAAACTTTTCAGATTTTTCTGATGGAAGATGGCCAATGTAGTTTGACGATTTAAAGGTTTATTGTTATAACACATACGCAACTATGGTTTAATTATGCAATGTATGAAAACTTACATCGCAAGTTCCTCAACAGTGCAATTACAAGACATAACTAAGACAATATATAAAAACAACAATGCAAATACAAATAGCGCAAGCTTCCAGAGGCCTGTACGACGAAGCCGGTTCAACAAAACCTGGATATGTTTGAGTTAACCGGTTTACCTAATCCAAAACAAACGCTCTCTCGCTAAGCGGTCCTACGACGCTGGTTATCAACTCGTTAACTCAAGCCAGCTTTGCCCTATCTAGTTAGGTGCGCGTTCTCATGAAAGGGGTGGTATTTGGAGCATTCGACCAATCACAAACATGGACAAGCGTACTGACAGCGCAGCGCGTCATACTTCCTGAATGAAAAGTAAACTATAATATTAGACAAATATGAAGACATTAAACTTTAAACATCCATGACTTAAACACTTTATCCAGGATAAAAGCCACATAGCTGCACCTGCAAGGTGAATACAGCTGGTAAAAGAAGAAGTGTTTGAATGCGTACATTAACAGGTTTATGATATCACTGCCCCGTCTAAGACACGAGTGGATCTGACTTTAATTACATTTGACTCAAGTGTTTCGTCAACTTAAAGGTGGGGTAGGTAATTTTGGAGAAACCAGCTCGAGTGCGCTAGAATTTGAAAATACACAGCCGGAAAAAATCTGCCACTTCCTTACAGAGCCCCTCCTCCAACACACACGAACGCGCACATGACCAATGAGGGCACGAGATAAGTTTGGGCACAGATGGAAGGCTGACAGGCAGGTAGGCCATCCAGTTATTTTAGCGGGGCCGGCTAAAATGATTGGTCGTGCTTTTTACAGTACTACGGCTTCCACAGATGACATTTTTGTATGGATTTTTTGTCAAAGCACTTAAGATATTCATTGCTATCGGGATGTTAAGAGCATTCCATGGAATATAACAAAAAGTGTATTTCGAGCCGGTTTCTCAAACTTACCTACCCCACCTTTAATGTGTTGCTTAAAATAATACTTCTGCATACAGTATGTGACACTGTAAGTGTTGCACGGCCAGATACGGCTCAAGAAGCTGACTCAGATAAGGACATATATGATACATTATGATGTGATATGATATGAATGATAATGGGACACATCGATGTCTGCACTCACAGTGCCGGACTGTACGTAATGTTACTTTGATTCGGTTACTTATGTTGTGGCAGATATTTAAGTAAGCTTTCTTCACGCTAATGTTATAATAGTCAGATTGCTCTGAAGATGGGAGGTGATATTCTATTAATTTTCACGTTCACACAGTCGGTGATTTTTGCCGGCCGTCTTTCCTGCAACGGCAGTTTAAACTGTATTTCCTTTCTCCTGTAATATGACTTGATCACTTTAAACTCTGCACACTGAGCTCTGATTGGTCAGCAGGCGGTGTTTTCACTGACTTGATCTCTTAACCTGCAACCTAACCTGCTCCGGACCAGGTTAGCCGCTCAGCATAAGTTACCATGGAGATCTAGCTGAAGTTAGCTCGCTAAGCGAAAATCCGGCTTCGTCGTACAGGCCTCTGGAGTCTATGTTGAACCTCCACAATCAGCTCCTGTGTGTTGCTGCTGTGAGATGAAGGTTGTTATCCTGGCACCGAGTGTTACAGCCGCAGCCTTCTCTCCGCTCTGTACTCCGTCTCGTGTAGTTTGCCTCGTCTATTTTTTAAGGACTGATACCCATGTTGGCTAAAAACATGTTTGCTCAAAGTCTGAGGCTCCAAGTTCACTCCTGACCAGCACAAATTATAGTTTAGTTTAGCAACAACCTTATAACCAAGGCTGATGCTGCTGATATCACATAAGTTCATCAGCCGGTGGAGTTTGCTGGAAAACTCCTGAACTAATCCTTTCAACAGGACATGATGATAAGCTCCGTTTCCGAGACAACGAATCTGCACTGATAATGGTTTTATGGAGTCAACATATGGACAGTGGAGCCACCTGTGAACCATAGGCAAACAATGTGTCGTCTTTCTGGAAACAAATATTGTCTCGGGTTGGAAACCAGAAACAAGAGCTGAAAGGAGAGCGCATTATTGACCAGCTGCAAGCATATATCTATCTACACATTATAATTAACCTTTTAAAATGTACTTTTACTGCCATTCAAACATTTTGGGATATGTCTCTAGAGTTTTTAATTCTTTAGACAATGCTTTTTATTTGAAAATGAGATTTTATCTTAATGTTTTTATCTGGTTAAATAAAGGTTAAATAAAAAAATAAAAATAAATATTGGAGCACCATGGAGGTTCACTACAGCTAAAACAATAATCCAAAATGTAAATTTTACAACACACTATTTAAATCTTTCAAATACATTTGGCTAGTGGCACAACTCTTACCATCCGACCATAGATCGTGAGAACAAATCACACAGTTCTTCAAGGTTAAACAGACATAATATTGTTTGATTAAGATCCTGTTCACTGAAACCAGTTTATTCAGACGACAGTACCTGCTCCAGGTGATGTTTGCAGGTGGATTTGCTTCAGCCTCACATATAAAGGAGCCTTCAGAAGTCTCAAGAATGGTCACTTCCATCGGTGAAACTGCAAGAAACAGGGAGAGAGGATAAGCGGTCATTGTTTTAACTTTAACATACTAATTACAGCTGAACCATTACACTGTTATCATGCTTTCTAAGGCACCTGATTTAAGGGATTTTAAAAACCTAAACCTCATGGATCTCTAAACTGCTGAATCCTCTTATGTACACTACTTTAGCTGCAGTGAGAGATTATTGTTGACTTTTCACAGAGAGGCTGCTGTGCAAATCAAGGTCAAGGTGATACATTACATAGCAAGCAAGCCAAGTATCTAACAATAGACAGAGGAAACTGCAGGCTACGTAATACCTGGCTCGATTTATAGTCGCAATGTGGATGGAATGACAAAGGAGTATTTTGTTTAAATAGAGATGTGGGTGGAGAATTCCACTGAGACAGTAAATCCTTGTACACGAAACTGTTCGAAAAATAACACTTTAAAGTTGTGTTGTTGTTTGCATCGACTCATCTTCTCCATTAGCTGTTTTAATACACATTATTATTTTCTCTTTTGATAACCTTCTGTTGGGAAAATACTGAATGTACTCTTTCATATCAGAGTAGCACATGATAACAAAGGCCCTACGTAGCTGTGTACGTAACCGGATGTATGATTACATGGATGAAGCTTATGAGACACTGTGTTGAACATACAATAACTATGTTCCAACGATTAAACACGAGGACACAGCCCCTAGGGAGATAGGCATATGACTGTCATGTGTTTTGCTTACGTGGGCCTTAGCTAATCTGAACTAAGCGAATACTGCTTTGAACCGGTATACATGTATCTTGTGACTGAATAACACCCTGTCTTGTATATAATGCATGTGAAGGACACTGTTCTGGGAACTAGCTGTCCCATGCAGCTGTGTGTGTGATGACTACTTCCATTCTTGCAAGGATAATAAATACATGTATCCTGATATTGAAGCTCAAGCCGGTGACGAGTGATATTTTTCTAAACACCTTGTAAACACCTATTTGTGTCCCTGTCTTTCCCAATTGTCTGCATCATCTTGCTCTTTTGTCAAAAGAATAAAAGTTCTTGGCTTGAAAAGACAAGTGAGGTGATTTTATCATTTGACATGAACAAAAATATCCTTCAATTTTTCAGGAAATTAATAGAACATATTATGATTCAAAGATAAATCCCTTAAAAGGGCTCCAAATGGATGTTAGGTCTAGTTCCACAGTCTGGTTTTGTAACAACACTTTACCTCAGCTAAATGAAGCTGATGTGATGCACTTGAAAAGCATATTGACTTTGGAGGATATATGTATTTTGTATTTTATTGAACTGTCACAGAAGAAGAATTTATATGCATACATGCATGCCGGTTATTTCTGTTGCTTTATGTTCAAGCTTGGGTGGATTGGAAAGGATTGTGTGTGAAATATGAGTGTCTGCTGCAACACTGAACAGTGGTTTGGTTTTTATCTCCAGTGAACTCTGGTATGTTTAGGGCAGATAGTAGTGGAGTTAATAACACCATTTTAATAAGTTAACTGTACTGGCAGCGATGTTCAAGAATAAGGGAAAAGCTTTAGAAACTGTAGCGGTATGAAGTTGATCATTCACAAGAGAAAGGGAAGGTTAAGAATTAAGTAGATCGGAAAACCGCAGTATGTATTCATGTCAGGAAAGTTTGCTTTGAGAATGTTTATGGAGAATTGTAGAGAGGGTCAGAAGGAGTTGCATTGATATCCGAATGAAAAAGTGTGATATTTTAAGAGGAAGTTGGGAAAAGGTGAAGGATATGTTGTATGGTTTGATGGAAGAGGCACTTACCAAGAGACAGGAAGCAGAAGGGGAGGTGACAGAGTTGAAGATGAGTAACGAGGATTGGCATGATTGGGAATGATCAGAGGGACAGCTCAGATTAGACATTTTGGAGACAAAGCCAAAGAGGCAAGATTGAGATTGTTTGGAAACATGCATTGAAAAGATTATTGGGACATCGGGAGAAGGATGCTGGAGATGGAGCTGACAAGCAAGAGGAATGGGAAGGCCAAAGACAAGGTTTATATCTGTGGTAAGCAAAGACATGCAAGTGGCTGGCAGACCAGATGAAGATGGAGACAGATGATCAGAAATGGAGACCCCTTAAAGAAGCAGCCAGAAGAAGAAGTATGGTATGTTCAGTTCTCTTTCAGTCTGTACATTGTGTGAAATCTAACCGTTCAAAATACTGCAGTTGACTAATTTGATTAGTTGAACACAATATGTGCCATTATACAGTATGTGTCACTTCAGTTCTTCCATTGTATACAATGTGTTGTAGAGGGCAAGCAGTTGTGCAAGCAGTTGTGCAAGCAGTTTTGCATGTTAAGAAACCAAGTTTAAAACCTGCAGTTATTACATTTTCAAAGTAAAGTAGCTTTGCTCAAGACTGGGAAAATACAGCCTTGTGGGATTTTCAGATATCAGGAGACAAGGGCAGAGTTCATACCGCAGGGTTGTCACAATGAAACCAAGAAGACCTGTTAAGTAGTCCAAAGAGCAGGGTTTGAGTTATGTGGGAGCCAATGGGAGCTGGGCTCCCATAAGGAGGGGTCTGAGCTCCCATGAAAGCAGGGAAATCATATATCTGTGGGGGTCGCTAATATATTATCAACAACCATGACTTTAATACAAAATAATGCATTTCTCAATGTAATGAGTATTAATTACATTAACGAGGTAAATCACCTAAAATAAAAACATGTTTTCCAAAAGAACTATGCATCGTATTTTCTCTTGAATGACAATATGCCTGCACTCAGGGATGTAGTGCTGCCGGAGAGCACCGGAACGCCGCTCAGAGCGAGAGAGAGAGGGAGGGAGAGAGAGAGAGCGCAGCGGTACCTGGGGTTGTTGCTAGCATCTGGTTAGCTAGCTGCGCTAACGGTTATAAGAAGCTGTTCCCTGCCAAAGAGTAATACATCATTTAAACAGACATGTGTATGGTTCAAAGCAGTTCACATTGTGTCTTCTTTTTAAAATAGAAGATTCAATTGAAACATCATCATCATATGGAAAGCAATTTGGAAAAAGCAATGGAGAAAGAACACCTGCACCAACTCTGACCTAATGATTTGAAAATGTGTATCTTTTAAGTCTTACATTAGCAAAGTCCTTCAACGACACAAACTTTCCACAAATCGCTTGTTTGAGCTTAATAGCTTAATTAATGTTACCTGTCCATGAGGCCAGACTAATGGAAAGACCACGAAATTAAAAAAGCAAGAGAGACTGTGAAATATCGAATTTAAGTTTGTTGAGTATATCATATAAATAAAATAAAAACAATTATAATGAGAAGCGGACATGATGGTCATTTATTAAGGCTTCAGCTACAAAATAAGTGTAGAAATCACTGATGCAGCCTGTGGATGATGTAGTCTCCATTTCCCTCACACCTCAGGGGCCAAGTATTGCACGAGTTCTGTGGCTACCACTTAATGTCTTGACATGTCTTAATGAAGCCAGAGGGAACATTAAAACGAAACACACCCATTGCCAGAAAAGCCATTATTTGAAAAGCTTTTAAATGTGTAATGGCTAAGTATAGAAGCAGTATTAAATGACTCTTGTGGAATCATTAGGGTGCACAAACAAATTATATTACTTTTTAGAAGGTAGAGTCTTAGACCCTATCATGCTTTTTGGGGTTATCCATTTACTGAAGTGTGTTATTTGCATTTTTGTGCATGTGAATGGACTGTAAAGGCTAAAATATTAAAGCTATCTCCAGAGTTTCTCTTTTGACCTAAGCACATATTCATCACATCACTATATGCTTCTATTGGCTAGCGCTCCAAGAGATTGTACACAGGCTAAGGGGTGGGACATCTCTCAGTGGTTGACCAATTACATCAGAGCCAGCCAGCTAACCAATCAGAGCAGACCGGGCTCTGGTGACAGACAGAGGGGGAAAAGAGGTATTGCAGCACAGTATGGGAAAAAACAAAACAAAAGAACATGTCACATTAGAAGCACAAAATACAAACGTGAACCTGAAAATGAGCGTAATACTGTATGTCCTTTAAAAATCAATCTCCAGCATTGCTTTTAGCACCTTCAACCAAGACAGAGGCCCAATCCGCAAATACAACTGAGACCAACCTGGTTTTCATATTATTAATGAATAAATCCTCAGATTGAAAATGGTAATATGATAAAGAATTAGAAATGTAAGACAGTATTTGTATACCCACAGTAGACCTGTATGGTGAAGGGCAGGGTTTCTTCCATCTTCATGGCTGCACTGGTGACGACACACTTGACCAATTGACCGTCTAATTCTCTGGTAGGTACTCCAAGCAGCGAGCTGATTGTGGTTGTAGTACTGTTAGCATTCAGGGTGGAGGTGGTTGATTCTCTCACTTTTCCTACCAGAGCACCAGTGAGCCAGCTTATTGCTGCAGGAGGCTTTGAACCAGCAGCCGTGCAGGTAACAAGAGAAACCTCTTCATTACCCAAAATAGGATGATCATCCTTCAGGATTGTCACCGGAGGCACTAGGAGGGTAAGAATACACAAATAAGTCAGCATAAAACCATAGAGGTATAAACATTAGTCACATTTGTATTCTCTCAGTAATGTTTGTATGCACTACATTATAGCCTACCAAGCAAATGTAGAGGTATCTCAGTCTTGTGAATTCCGCTGGGAAACAGCGTGAAGATGCAGGTGTAGGTGCCTTCGTCCATCAATGTGACTCCAATTAACTGCAGGGATCCATTCTTGGCTTTTAAGTCCCCAATAAATTTAAAACGGCCATCATCTCCATTTCCATTGACAAACTGTGGTCCTGTCTTCAAAATTGTAAAGAAGTTATTGTTCTGAGGTTTTTCTCTGGTCTTCTTCTGCCAGGAAATTTGGTTGAGTGTTTCTGTAGCGCCGATAAGTTGGCAGGGAAAGTTGGCAGTCCCTCCTTGCACAACGGTGACGTTTCCTCCAATCACCTGAAGCGCTGCAAGATGCATAAAATCACATCAGGCAAAAAAAAACAGAAGGTACAAACCATATGGCTCTCCTATGAAGCAAGGTGAGCAGGATTGTGTGGTACAAGGTTAAAGTTCAAGGCTTTTATTGGTCATACGAACATAGCTACAGTGTAGTTATGACGATGAAAATCTTAGGTCACAGGCTCCTCCAACAGTGCAACACAATAAAACAGAAAAACAGAACAAAATAGTGCAAGTAAATAGTAAATACAAAAAGAAAAATAGTAAAAAAAAGTGAAATAGTGCAATAAGAGTCTTTATACAAGTTATTGGAATATGATATATTAGATAAATAGTTTCTAAGTAGCAGCCAGATGAATGTTATTTCAATGTTCAGGTGTTTAATAGTCTTATTGCCTGTGGGATGAAACTGCTACGATACCGCCTGCCAGACGGCAGCAGACAGAACAGTTTGTGGTTTTCCATGGTATGAGGGGGCTCTTTTTAACCTGGCTATATTTATATAGCAATGTATGCTGCTGACCTATGTTCAGTACTCATTTAAATGTCATAATAACAGTCAAATTGAAATGGGCTAAAAAGAGGCATTTCAACTAGTTACTTTAAAAAAAGAAATCATCATATTTCAGTCAATATGAACAATACAGACTCCCAGCTGAAAGAATAAGTTCAATAGGAAAACATGTCAGCTGTAACGTAACATTATTGAACAAAGATGTAGATGCATTGTTTTGCGTTTATTGTGCCTCTTTCTCTTTTCTCCTATATGATGGGACAACATGCAGAGCCATTATGGTGGGAGAAGTGATAGAGCCTTTGTTTGAACATGTATCTTTTAGGAAAATGTAAAGTAGGCTACTAAAGTAAACACTACACCTCATCACGTTTCTAACCTTTGCATCTCATAGTATGTGGTTGAATTTGCTTAAATAAATACTTCTCTGGGAGGAGTACTCAGAACTTGTACTTGAGTAAAAGTAGAAAGTACCAGAGTGTAGGAATATACTCAGTGACAAGTAAAAGTCCAGCATTAAAAAAGTCACTCAAGTAAAAGGTACAAAAGCATACGCATCAAAATAAACTTAAAGTACAATAAGTAAAAGTAATAAAGTAAAGCATTATTAAGTAACTGAATGTACAAAATAAATGTAGTGGAGTAAAAGGACACGATTTACTTCTGAATTGTAGGGGAGTAGAAGTAGCCTACAAAGTAGCATACAATGGAAATACTCAAGCAAAGTACAAGTATCTCAAAATTGTACTCAAGTACAGATTGAGTAAATGTACCAGTTACTTCCCAGTTCCCACCTCTGCTCCTCATGTTGTCTCATCTCTATTGTTACAAGACATGTGCGCCACAAGGTGTTTACTGATTCATTACATTGTGGTGAAATACAGCAGCAGCTACTCTTTGTTCTCTCCTTCGATATGTAAGATGCGTTCTGCTATCGTGAACTATTTTTGTGTAAGCAGCTCTGTATTTTATTCTACCGTACCCATAGCGTAACGTAGATATAGAGCAAGTCATTTTCTTTGAAGGAAACATCGAGAACTATTAGCTTGTAAAGCTTACCTTCGACTGTGCTCTGAATCAACGTAAACACCGATAAGAATACTGATGCTGCTGGAGAAACACCGTGCATTATGACGTCTCCATAGATTCCCGTTAAAGTTAAAACAATATTTGTCCGTCCATCATGTGTGTAACACCCTGGATGTAATCATAGCACGGTCATCCGACCTACGCCATCTGAGCAGAGCTACTGTGTGCTCTTAAAGGGGAAGACTGGGACTTCCCAACCTCCGATTAGCAGTAGCGTGGCGTAGGGAAAAATTTAGGGGAAGCCCATTTTTTTGGGTTGGTTGGGGGGGGGGGGTCAATAACGTAACCAGATGAGTGATTACAGCGCCCGGTATCATTTTACACACATTTGTATCACACAGATGCAGGACTTGCACACGCCTGTTATCTAACCGACAAGTCCGCACGCACTCTCCAGCCGAAACTCTCGTTTTATTAATTTAAGCATTTTCTTATTAATTTATGCAGACACACACCCCCCCAAATGCAATACCAGCCGCAGTGCAGATTCGGTAATGAATAAAAAAGAAGCATTCATTCACAAAGTAAATCAGGAGACCTTTAAAGTTTTATGTACACATCAAAGTATCAGTAGGCGTGTATGAAACACATGAATTCAAAAACAATTATGTACAGAAACATTTGCATGCGATAGTCCACCTTCTCTTCCCTTCCCTTTCTAACACACGGCAAGTGCAGCAACAGTCCTCGTCTCTGTAATTAGCTCAGAGAGAGAGAGAGAGAGAGAGGCGGGGGTTGTTAATAAAATAAGTTAAGAAATGATTCCAATGTGTACTATCGGTCAGTAAAAAATAAAAAAAAACAGTTTAAAAGGGGAGTGATTAGTAAAATATGCATAAATAAAAAAAGGTAAGATAAAGATAGGAGAGAGGAGTTTATCAATGATGTGTTATTGGTTGTGAGCATATTCTAATGTTTTTTTAATTATTGAAATATATACAGTTCTGTTTCATATGAGTGTTGAGAGCTGTATCCATAAATCTCTTAATTTTGCCCTCAAAGTTCACCAGATTGATGCATTTAACTTCAATTTAAAGAAAAAATCTTCCAGGGGGAGCATGCCCCAGGACCCCCCTAGAGGATGTGAGGTCATCACAAATAAAACGGGTTCAAATGGATAGGATACTAGATAGGTTTGCACACTCATATACACTACACATTTTCCTTGGATTTGTTAATGCCATAGTCCCTAATATATTTGTAGAAAGGCAGGAAATCGAATTAAATCGAGAAAATGTTTCATTGCGGAGGACCCCCTGTTTTGTGTCCCCCCCCACTTCTCAAACCAAAGCTACACCCGTGTCCAGGGCATTTGTGTGCAATTAAGAGACAAATACTGATTAATATATCGAAGAAAAACCAATATTAAATGAATTATATCAACTCAATAACATAATTGAATCTTGAATCAGCAGTGAAAAAAAAAACATCCAACTAAAAATGCATGCACAGTGAAAGTCACTAATAATAAAAACATATCATATATATTATTCTGAAAGGGACCAATCTGTATAATAAATTATTTTTTAATGTTGGTACTTTGAGTCTATTCTGATGCTAATACTTTTGTACTTTTACTTGAGTAACATTTTGAATGCAGGACTTTTACTTGTAACAGAGTATTCCTATACTCTGGTACTTCTACTTTTACTCAAGTAAAAGAGTACTTCTTCCAGAGTGACCGACTTGGCTACTGCGCCAGGATATGAGTAGCTTAAAGAGTCATCTTACTACATCTTTTACAGCTTGTTCACAAACCAATTCAAGCACTGTTCAGTGTCATTGTCAATCTAAATGATCATACAACACAATCAGAAATCCTTTATTAGTCCCACAGCGGGTACATTGACATTGTTACAGCAAAAAGTGGCATACAAGCAATAGTGGCATAGCAGGTAAAAAAAGGCATGCAATAATACAGAATGAGCTAACATATTAATATATAGAAGAAAAGCACAAATTAGTTATACTAGAATACAAATAAAGACAAATAAGTAGGTAAGTACACATCCACAAAAATGATGACAGCAACTTCAGAACTTAATGACGTAATGTAAGGTGTTGAGACATTATATATTAAAAAAAAAGTTGGGACTTTTATTACAAAGCTGGTTTTCACATAAAGGTGAGTATTGCACAGTATTTTTTGTCTTAAAAGTATCTATATTGCACATTGTCGTTGTATTGATAATTTAAGTTAAATAGAGACAGTGGAGACTTAGTGCACTGCACACAGCTTTTCCATAGTAGGCACTGTGTAAGTAAGCATTGCTGTCAAACAAAAGGCAACTGTGCCATTACTGCCGAGGATCTGCATTCCTTAACCCTTTGCAAGCGAAACGTTTCCAATCTGCAAACAGTACTTCATTGTTTATCATAAAGCACATTGTCGGAAGAGGAAATACAAAATATGTTGCAGTTTAACTTCTAACCCTAACTCACTACATGAAGAAAACACAGTGAACTCAGGCCCCCAAACATTTTTCCAAACTCAGTTATGATTCATTTATCAATATTAAGCCTTTTGTCATTTTTATTTGAGTCTACATTGTTGAACAAAACACATCTGAATAAGTTAATCCAAAAAGGGAATTTGGTCTGGTCACTTCCAAGATTTGTAACATGTTGTATGTTGTTGATGTTCTTTGTGTTTATGCTTTATCTTTGACATACCTATATGCTGTACCTATAACAAAGTACCTCCGAGCTGTAACACACTTGAGTAAATGTTGTAAGTTACACCACTGCAGCTGGGTAATTACATCTATAATAATGCACCAAGAGTGGAAATTGAATTGTAATTATAGCTGCAAAAATAATGCAGTGAAATAAAAATAAAAACAAGTAAAACAATTTTGTCAAGTCCTTTTGTCCCCAAACATGCAGCCTTTGAAGTCAGTCTACTCTACATAATATATATTAATAAAACACTAATCAATTAACAAATACTGTCAGAAATCTGGTTGTTATTTCAATAAATTCAGCTTTTATTCAGCCAGGGCCTTTTTGTTCTGTCATGACCTTTTGACCTATCCTCCTTACCACAATTCCTCTATTTTCTAACGCTAACTCGAGTGTTGGAGCTATATATCTCTTTATATTATTTAATAGTTTAACATTTATTTTCTTGCTGTTTATATAGTATATAGTGTGTATATATAGTGTTTATTGTAAATGTATTCTTAGTTAGCATCATAGTAGTTTCTATGCTTTTATTTTGAAGGCATGTTTGGGCACTGTGATTAGAGCACCTGGTGTAATTGTATATATTGGAGACAGGTGGTGGTGGGAGCCAGAGCACGATAGGCAAACGGTTTTTTTACCAGGGTGTTTCAAGCCACACAAAGGAAAGCCATAGGAAAGGCTTAAGGAAGAGAGACATATGGAAACCTGTTCATTGTACTTTGTTAATGGAATAAAATGCACAAATGGAGGTTCTTGTCTGGACTTGGATGATCATTGCCCTGCCTAAGATCCGCTAACTCGTGCCTCAGCGGCTGTTTTAGTTCTATAGGATTTTGGCCGCTACATCGAGGGATTTAAAAAAAAAAATAACTTGACACGATACTCTCCTCATCTTTTATATGGACCTGAGTTTTTTCTTTTTCCCCATGTAGCTTGTTTCTGATGTCTTCTGTGAGGCAGCACCAGCCAGTGTTTTTGTCAATCTGAACCCAAATTCAATGTATGTTGACAAGTTACAACTTGCTTATCCAAGGGAAAACCGTGTGCCTCCTAGACCTGTTCAATTTATCTTACATTTGTCACTATTCATTTAACTGCATGCAATCTTGACTTTCAGCATTGTCTTAAATTCCGTCTGTACATGACAACGAACAAAGCAATAATACAAAAACTAGCAAATCACACAAAACGCAATCATCTCAAAATGTAGGACGGTCTATACGAGTTGATTTTGTCCCTACAAACACACATTTCTTGCCAAAAATGGCTTACCAAGTTACTAGTTTGTCTATAATGTTGCATTACAGTGACTGTGTGAAACATTTAACCTTTGTCACCATCTGCTGGCCATGAAACGCTCACATGTTCATAGCACAAAAGAAATCAGCAGAAATGAACAAATGAAATATAACAATAGTGCACGTTAGCATAACATTACCATGTGAAACAGAAACACAGATTTTTTTTTTTTTTTTAATGGAATGGTTGGACATGCCTGTTTGCTTTCTTGCCGTTCAACCTTTATTTATACTCCATAGAATAGATCATTGAGGGGCGACACTCAGTAACAGTGACATCGAGGCAGTTACAAGAACCAAAGAAACAGCATAGACATATGCTAACATAAAAAAAGCAATACTATAATAAAAAGAACTATTTAAAATAAAAATAAATCGCTGGATACAATAACTTAATAAAATGTAAAAAAAAATCAATAACGTATTTACAAATTAAAAGTAGAAGTTTAAGATCCAGTTTCTAAAATATAAAAAGTTGGAGTAAGTTGATACCAATCTCATACAACTGACTACATGTAGGCCGACTTACGACTCCATATACTGCATATCCGTATGAATGCAACCGAAGGCCTCAAGTCATTTTTTGTCCTGTTTTTGTAATTCCACAAAACAATAGTCCAACTTTGCTGTTCTGTTTTTATGGCTGATAAAAATAACTAGTCGGTTTATGCAGTTGACCCTAAACAAGCTAATTTGGGAAGAACCCCAATAGAGGTGAAAACTCAAAAGATGCTATACCCATGTTTAAAGCTGCTGAAACCTAAAATATTGAGTAATATCAAACACAGCTTAATCAGAGAATTTACTAATTATTTGTTTCCAAACAGAATCCCTTTTACATGACCCATATTCAATTTTTTTTTTTTTTTTTTTACAAGTCTTTTTATTTCATTATAGTGTACAATAATCGATGCCATTTCATTTATATTGTAATATCACAGTACACTCACTACACTCCCCCTCCCTCCCTCCACCCACACATACCCGCACAGGCAAAACCAAAAAATGCTTATCAATATAACTTAAACAACAGAGCCATGAAAATAAACATAAAAAGGAAAAGGAAAAAAAAATAGAACCAAAAAATAAATAAATAAAAACCAAACAAGTAAAACAAACAAATAATTATACAATACAAATAATTATACAACAGTGACAATGTAGACAATGACAACACCATACTGTAACACGTATTTCCGGCCGTCAGGACAAATAGCCACAGAATGCACCATTCCATCACTGGTCATATCTCAGATATGTTTTCCAAATAAGAAAACAATGGCAATCACAGAGCTTGAAAAATATGTCCACGATTATATTTTTCCAATGTCATTTTCTCCAGAGGTAAAAAAGGTGTTCTCTGATCAATGAAAAGTTTAAATGTTGGGGGACGTTCATTCTTCCAGAATAAAAGTATACATTTCTTGGCAAAATATGTTATTGTGATTAGTATTCTGTAATGTTTGGGGTTCAGTTTAAAGTTTGGCATGTCATTTAACAGGAAAAAACATGGATTTAGGCTAATTTCGATGTCTAAAACGGCTTTTGTGAGAGCATGAATCGAATCCCAGAAATGTTTCAAGAGATCACAATCCCAAAACAGATGCATAAATGTTCCTTCTTTTATTTTACATCTCGGACATTTTGGAGAGTTTTCTTTGGAAATGTTATGCATCTTTATGGGTGTGAGGTAACATTTGTTGATACATTTAAAGTTTGCTTCTTTGATTTTATTGCTTGTGAATGGAAAATGTGTTCTTTCACAAATATTCAGCCAAGTAGTTTCATCTATCTGTATCCCTAAGTCCTTTTCCCAGATCTTTAGAAGTTAGAAATGATGACTGAGCTCTTTTAGAAAAAACTGCATTAAATTCACTAATTTTAACTTTGATCGTGCTCGATGACATCAATATCTCCTCCTCTTCTAACAATCCCGATCTCAATTTATTGCTTTTAATAATTGATTGGATCACGTTCCTAATTTGCAGGTATCTGAAAAAATCCTTATTTGAAATGTCATATTCTGCTCTTAAATCATTAAATGATTTCATTATTATATCTTTGTGAAACAAATGTTTCAATTGCTTTATACCTGATTTCGTCCATTTGTTTATATCGATTGACAACAAATATTTGCTAAGATCAGGATTGTTCAAAATAGGAGAAAAGATGGAAATACCAGAGTTAACATGAACTTTTTTTGTACAGTCCCTCCAGGCTAAAAGTGTATTGACCACTGTAAAACATTTGTCCATATTTTTCACCTTATTGAAATCTTTAACAAATATAAGAGTTTCCACTGGCAACGGGTCAAAGACATTGGCTTCTATCTGAACCCATAGTGAATCCTTTCTTCCCAGAGACCATGATAGTACATTTCTTAATTGAGCTGACCAGAAGTAGTGTTGAAAGTTAGGAAGACCAAGTCTTCACAGATTTGACCTTTATTGCTAATGTCTTTGAGTTGATGATTGGCACGACTGCTGTACATTTTGTTCGAAATGTTTGACTATTGTTTTTTGCCAATGCATCCTTGAATTAAATATGATATTTTGAAAATACATTTTGAGCTTCCCCTCTAGTTTCACACAAAATCACCGCCGTCAAAATCTGTGATCCTGTCTGATAACCATGGTGGCACCAAGTTTGTTAACAGCTTTCCAAATAAAGCATGTGATAAAGTATGATGAAGATTTTTGTTTTTTGTAAGTCACAGAATCTGGTAAGTCACTATGTTCAACTTAAATATAAAATATGTTCATGTACAAGTCATATATCAGAGATACAGAAATCATAATAACAAGATGGTTTGAGACAAATGTAACATATTTACATGTAGATGTTTTTAATGATAGTAATAAAAGAAAAATATTGTAACCAATGCATGGTCTAATACCCAATGGTAAGCTAACATGAGGTTTCTGATTCAAATCAAATTAAATCAAAACATTTGTTATATTAACACACACAAGTAATTATCATATATCTCCCTATTTTAGAAAACTATATGCAATCGTTTTTATATTGCACACTAGTGATGGACTTACCGTTGGAGTGGTCCAGACCATAAGACGCAGAAAATACAGCAAACTTCAAAAGTGGGCATTTTATGTAAAATATTCAATATGTATTTGACATGGCATCACATCCACAGCAAGGCATGCTGCCCTGGCACAGAGAGCAGCTTTGTATAGCCACCACCCTAAGATGCTATCAAAAGCAGGGGTGATATTTACCTATGTCTAATTAATACATACAAATAAATCAACCAAACAGAAATCTAAGTCGTGTTTCATCTGAAACTTCAACAGGAGCTTTACGTGTATTTGTGAAGGAGGCGCACCAAAAGCCCCCAAAGGAAGTGGTTGGTTACTAAGTTACAATTTCAACACCATTGTATATTTTGTATGTGCAGGTTTTCTTTTGATAGATACAGTGTCGGTGAAAAAGCTCAAGACCAATGTCCCAGTATAGAGTTAATCTTGACTTTGACATTATTAGATTGCACAAAACCCAAAGAGGCTACTGTTACATGTGACACTCTGTATTACAACATACGGTGCATCTAAATAGAATTGCACAAACATACCAGATGATTATCAAGGAAGAATTAAGGAAAGGCAAATCAAAATGGAGCGTTCTCGTTACTCTTCATGGTTTCAACACTGACTGAGGCCACGGGAGGTCGTTACTGGAGAGGGGCAGAGAGGAGAGAGGTTAACTCGTTTTCACACGATTTAAAACAACGACAAGCATTTTTGGTATTTAAATGACATGGGGAAATAAAATACATCAACGTATCGCCTTGCAGCTTGGCAACAACTTACTGTAGGGGAAACAAAACATAGTTGGAATCAAACATGAACAAGATCTTACAGGTTGAAAGAGGATACATTTCAATGAACATTTGTTGTTATGACAACGTAGCCTGTGAATAAACAACATAGGCTAGTGCTGGTCATCTACACTGCTATCTTCCTATTGTAACAACCACACTCACTTCACTGTTAGACATTCCCTAATTTAATGCATGATCTGTTTGGTATTTTGAAAACAGAAACGTATAAATATACCTTATATAGGTATGGCCCTACAATATATCATTTAAATATAGCATGATAGGTCCACTTTAATCTACATATTTTAGGCTATACTTTAGCTACTCACCCTAAATTGTGGTTTTCCACTTATTTTTTGAGCAAATATAGTCACTGGCCTCAAATGTTGCCTTTATAAACTTTTCATAATTTTCTGATGGAAGATGGCCAATGTAGTTTGACTATTTAAAGGTTTATTGTCATAACACATACGCAACTATGGTTTAATTATGTAATGTATGAAAACTTACATTGCAAGTTCCTCAACAGTGCAATTACAAGACATAAATAAGACAATATATATAAAAAAACAACAATCAAAATACAACCTTTGCCCTATCTAGTTACAGTAGGGGCGCGTTCACATGAAAGGGGTTGTATTTGGAGCATTCGACCAATCACAAACATGGACAAGCGTACTGACAGCGCAGCGCGTCATACTTCCTGAATGAAAAGTCAACTATAATATTAGACAAATATGAAGACGTTAAACTTTAAAAATCCATGACTTAAACACTTTATCCAGGATAAAAGCCACATAGCTGCACCTGCAAGGTGAATACAGCTGGTAAAATAAAAAGTTTTTGAATGCGTACATTAACAGGTTTATGATATCACTGCCCCGACACGAGTAGATCTGACTTTAATTACATTTGACTCGAGTGTTTCGACAACTTAATGTGTTGCTTAAAATAATACTTCTGCATACAGTATGTGACACTGTGAGTGTTGCACGGCCAGATACGGCTCAAGAAGCTGACTCAGATAAGGAAATAGGCCTATATGATACATTATGATGTGATATGATATGAATGATAATGGGACACATCGACGTCTGCACTCACAGTGCCGCGGACTGTACGTAATGTTACTTTGATCCGGTTACTTATGTTGTGGCAGATATTTAAGTAAGCTTTCTTAACGCTAATGTTATAATAGTCAGATTGCTCTGAAGATGGGAGGTGATATTCTATTAATTTTCACGTTCACACAGTCGGTGATTTTTGCCGGCCGTCTTTCCTGCAACGGCAGTTTAAACTGTATTTCCTTTCTCCTGTAATATGACTTGATCACTTTAAACTCCGCACACTGAGCTCTGATTGGTCAGTAGGCGGTGCTTTCACTGACTTGATCTCTTCGCCTGCAACCTAACCTGCTCCGGACCTGGTTAGCCGCTCAGCATAAGTTACCATGGAGATCTAGGCCGCTAAGAAGTGAACCAGCTTCGTAGGACCGGAAACCCAGAGTTTTCCCTGAAGTTAGCTCACTAAGCGAAAATCCGGCTTCGTCGTACAGGCCTCTGGAGTCTATGTTGAACCTCCACAATCAGCTCCTGTGTGTTGCTGCTGTGAGATGAAGGTTGTTATCCTGGCACCGAGTGTTACAGCCGCAGCCTTCTCTCCCCCACTAATGTCAGGGTTCGGACCTCCTCTCTGTACTCCGTCTCGTGTAGTTTGCCTCATCTATTTTTTAAGGACACATACCCATGTTGGCTAAAAGCATGTTGGCTCAAAGTCTGAGGCTCCAAGTTCACTCCTGACCAGCACACATTATAGTTTAGTTTAGCAACAACCTTATAACCAAGGCTGATGCTGCTGATATCACATAAGTTCATCAGCCGGTGGAGTTTGCTGGAAAACTCCTGAACTAATCCTTTCAACAGGACATGATGATAAGCTCCGTTTCCGAGACAACGAGTCTGCACTGATAATGGTTTTATGGAGTCAACATATGGACAGTGGAGCCACCTGTGAACCATATGCAAACGATGTGTCGTCTTTCTGGAAACAAATATTGCCTCGGGTTGGAAACCAGAAACAAGAGCTGAAAGGAGAGCGCATTATTGACCAGCTGCAAGCATATATCTATCTACACATTATAATTAACCTTTTACTGCCATTCAAACATTTTGGGATATGTCTCTAGAGTTTTTAATTCTTTAGACAATGCTTTTTATTGGAGCACCATGGAGGTTCACTACAGCTAAAACAATAATCCAAAATGTAAATTTTACAACACACTATTTAAATCCTTCAAATACATTTGGCTAGTAGCACAACTCTTACCATCCGACCATAGATCGTGAGAACAAATCACACAGTTCTTCAAGGTTAAACAGACATAATATTGTTTGATTAAGATCCTGTTCACTGAAACCAGTTTATTCAGACGACAGTACCTGCTCCAGGTGATGTTTGCAGGTGGATTTGCTTCAGCCTCACATATAAAGGAGCCTTCAGAAGTCTCAAGAATGGTCACTTCCATCGGTGGAACTGCAAGAAACAGGGAGAGAGGATAAGCGGTCATTGTTTTAACTTTAACATACTAACTACAGCTGAACCATTACACTGTTATCATGCTTTCTAAGGCACCTGATTTAAGGGACTTTAAAAACCTAAACCTCATGGATCTCTAAACTGCTGAATCCTTTTATCTACACAACTTTAGCTGCAGTGAGAGATTATTGTTGACTTTTCACAGAGAGGCTGCTGTGCAAATCAAAGTCAAGGTGATAAATTACATAGCAAGCAAGCCAAGTATCTAACAATAGACAGAGGAAACTGCAGGCTACGTAATACCTGGCTCGATTTATAGTCGCAATGTGGATGGAATGACAAAGGAGTGTTTTGTTTAAATAGAGATGTGGGTGGGGAATTCCACTGAGACAGTACATCCTTGTACACGGAACTGTTCGAAAAGCACATAGTCATCACATCACTATATGCTTCTATTGGCTAGCGCTCCAAGACATTGTACACAGGCTAAGGGGTGGGACATCTCTCAGCGGTTGACCAATTACATCAGAGCCAGCCAGCTAACCAATCAGAGCAGACCGGGCTCTGGTGACAGACAGAGGGTGAAAAGAGGTATTGCAGCACAGTATGGGAAAAAACAAAACAAAAGAACATGTCACATTAGAAGCACAAAATACAAACGTGAACCTGAAAATGAGCGTAATACTGTATGTCTTTTAAAAATCAATCTCCAGCATTGCTTTTAGCACCTTCAACCAAGACAGAGGCCCAATCCGCAAATACAACTGAGACCAACCTGGTTTTCATATTATTAATGAATAAATCCTCAGATTGAAAATGGTAATATGATAAAGAATTAGAAATGTAAGACAGTATTTGTATACCCACAGTAGACCTGTATGGTGAAGGGCAGGGTTTCTTCCATCTTCATGGCTGCACTGGTGATGACACACTTGACCAATTGACCGTCTAATTCTCTGGTAGGTACTCCAAGCAGCGAGCTGATTGTGGTTGTAGTACTGTTAGCATTCAGGGTGGAGGTGGTTGATTCTCTCACTTTTCCTGCCAGAGCATCAGTGAGCCAGCTTATTGCTGCAGGAGGCTTTGAACCAGCAGCCGTGCAGGTAACAAGAGAAACCTCTTCATTACCCAAAATAGGATGATCATCCTTCAGGATTGTCACCGGAGGCACTAGGAGGGTAAGAATACACAAATAAGTCAGCATAAAACCATAGAGGTATAAACATTAGTCACATTTGTATTCTCTCAGTAATGTTTGTATGCACTACATTATAGCCTACCAAGCACATTTAGAGGTATCTCAGTCTTGTGAATTCCGCTGGGAAACAGCGTGAAGATGCAGGTGTAGGTGCCTTCATCCATCAATGTGACTCCAAATAACTGCAGGGATCCATTCTTGGCTTTTAAGTCCCCAATAAATTTAAAACGGCCATCATCTCCATTTCCATTGACAAACTGTGGTCCTGTCTTCAAGATTGTAAAGAAGTTATTGTTCTGAGGTTTTTCTCTGGTCTTCTTCTGCCAGGAAATTTGGTTGAGTGTTTCTGTAGCGCCGATAAGTTGGCAGGGAAAGTTGGCAGTCCCTCCTTGCACAACGGTGACGTTTCCTCCAATCACCTGAAGCGCTGCAAGATGCATAAAATCACATCAGGCAAAAAATCAAACAGAAGGTACAAACCATAGGGCTCTCCTATGAAGCAAGGTGAGCAGGTTTGTGTGGTTCAAGGTTCAAGTTCAAGGCTTTTATTGGTCATACGAACATAGCTACAATGTAGTTATGACAATGAAAATCTTAGGTCACAGGCTCCTCTAACAGTGCAACACAATAAAACAGAAAAACAGAACAAAATAGTGCAAGTAAATAGTAAATACAAAAAGAACAATAGTAAAAAAAAAGTGAAATAGTGCAATAAGAGTCTATATACAAGTGATTGGAATATGATATATTAAATAAATAGTTTCTAAGTAGCAGCCAGATGAATGTTATGGATGTTGTTTCAAAGTCCAGGTGTTTAATAGTCTTATGGCCTGTGGGATGAAACTGTCCCTGAGTCTGGTGGTTTTAGTCCTGATGCTGCGGTACCGCCTGCCAGACGGCAGCAGACAGAACAGTTTGTGGCTGATGGGGTCTTTGATAAAGGCTTTCTTCCTGAGAAGCTGGGAGTAAAGATCCACCATGGATGGCAGCTCCGTGATGAGCCGAAAGCCAGAGTTTTCCATGGTATGAGGGGGCTCTTTTTAACCTGGCTATATTTATATAGCAATGTATGCTGCTGACCTATGTTCAGTACTCATTTAAATGTCATAAAAACAGTCAAATTGAAATGGGCTAAAAAGAGACATTTCAACTAGTTACTTTAAAAAAAGAAATCATCATATTTCAGTCAATAGTGTCAATATGAACAATACAGATTCCCAGCTGAAAGAATAAGTTCAATATGAAAACGTGTCAGCTGTAACGTAACATTATTGAACAAAGATGTAGATGCATTGTTTTGCGTTTATTGTGCCTCTTTCTCTTTTCTCCTATATGATGGGACAACATGCAGAGCCATTATGGTGGGAGAAGTGATAGAGCCTTTGTTTGAACATGTATCTTTTAGGAAAATGTAAAGTAGGCTACTAAAGTAAACACTACACCTCATCACGTTTCTAACCTTTGCATCTCATAGTATGCCTATGTGGTTGAATTTGCTTAAATAAATACTTCTCTGGGAGGAGTACTCAGAACTTGTACTTGAGTAAAAGTAGAAAGTACCAGAGTGTAGGAATATACTCAGTGACAAGTAAAAGACCAGCATTAAAAAAGTCACTCAAGTAAAAGGTACAAAAGCATACGCATCAAAATAAACTTAAAGTACAATAAGTAAAAGTAATAAAGTAAAGCATTATTAAGTAACTAAAGGTACAAAATAAATGTAGTGGAGTAAAAGGACACGATTTACTTCTGAATTGTAGGGGAGTAGAAGTAGCCTACAAAGTAGCATACAATGGAAATACTCAAGCACAGAAGTATCTCAAAATTGTACTCAAGTACAGATTGAGTAAATGTACCAGTTACTTCCCAGTTCCCACCTCTGCTCCTCATGTTTTCTCATCTCTATTGTTACAAGACATGTGCGCCACAAGGTGTTTACTGATTCATTACATTGTGGTCAAATACAGCAGCAGCTCCTCTTTGTTCTCTCCTTCGATATGTAAGATGCGTTCTGCTATCGTGTTTTTACTATTTTTGTGTAAGCAGCTCTGTATTTTATTCTACCGTACCATAGCGTAACGTGTAGATATAGAGCAAGTCATTTTCTTGTAAAGCTTACCTTCGACTGTGCTCTGAATCAACGTAAACACAGATAAGAATACTGGTGCTGCTGGAGAAACACCGTGCATTATGACGTCTCCATAGATTCCCGTTGTGTGTAACATCGTGGATGTAATCATCCTACGCCATCTGAGTACTGAGCAGAGCTACTGTCAGCTCTGAAAGGGGAAAAGTGTTGCTGTCAAACAAAAGGCAACTGTGCCATGACTGCGGAGGATCTGCATTCCAGCGAAACGTTTCCAATCTGCAAACAGTACTTCATTGTTTATCATAAAGCACATTGTCGGAAGAGGAAATACAAAATATGTTGCAGTTTAACTTCTAACCCTAACTCACTACATGAAGAAAACACAGTGAACTCAGGCCCCCAAACATTTTTCCAAACTCAGTTATGATTCATTTATCAATATTAAGCCTTTTGTCATTTTTATTTGAGTCTACATTGTTGAACAAAACACATCTGAATAAGTTAATCCAAAAGGTTAGGGAATTTGGTCTGGTCACTTCCAAGATTTGTAACATGTTGTATGTTGTTGATGTTCTTTGTGTTTATGCTTTATCTTTGACATACCTATATGCTGTACCTATAACAAAGTACCTCCGAGCTGTAACACACTTGAGTAAATGTTGTAAGTTACACCACTGCAGCTGGGTAATTACATCTATAATAATGCACCAAGAGTGGAAATTGAATTGTAATTATAGCTGCAAAAATAATGCAGTGAAATAAAAATAAAAACAAGTAAAACAATTTTGTCAAGTCCTTTTGTCCCCAAACATGCAGCCATTGAAGTCAGTCTACTCTACATAATATATATTAATACAACACTAATCAATTAACAAATACTGTCAGAAATCTGGTTGTTATTTCAATAAATTCAGCTTTTATTCAGCCAGGGCCTTTTTGTTCTGTCATGACCTTTTGACCTATCCTCCTTACCACAATTCCTCTATTTTCTAACGCTAACTCGAGGGATTTAAAAAAATAAATAACTTGACACGATACTCTCCTCATCTTTTATATGCACCTGAGTTTTTTCTTTTCCCCATGTAGCTTGTTTCTGATGTCTTCTGTGAGGCAGCACCATCCAGTGTTTTTGTCAATCTGAACCCAAATTCAATGTATGTTGACAAGTTACAACTTGCTTATCCAAGGGAAAACCGTGTGCCTCCTAGACCTGTTCAATTTATCTTACATTTGTCACTATTCATTTAACTGCATGCAGTCTTGACTTTCAGCATTGTCTTAAATTCCGTCTGTACATGACAACGAACAAAGCAATAATACAAAAACTAGCAAATCACACAAAACACAATCATCTCAAAATGTAGGACGGTCTATACAAGTTGATTTTGTCCCTACAAACACTAATTTCTTGCCAGAAATGGCTTACCAAGTTACTAATGTGTCTATAATGTTGCATTACAGTGACTGTGTGAAACATTTAACCTTTGTCACCATCTGCTGGCCATGAAACGCTCACATGTTCATAGCACAAAAGAAATCAGCAGAAATGAACAAATGAAATATAACAATAGTGCACGTTAGCATAACATTACCATGTGAAACAGAAACACAGATTTTACCTTTATTGCTAATGTCTTTGAGTTGAGCACGACTGCTGTACATTTTGTTCGAAATGTTTGACTATTGTTTTTTGCCAATGCATCCTTGAATTAAATATATTTTGAAAATACATTTTGAGCTTCCCCTCTAGTTTCACACAAAATCACCGCCGTCAAAATCTGTGATCCTGTCTGATAACCATGGTGGCACCAAGTTTGTTAACAGCTTTCCAAATAAAGCATAAAGTATGATGAAGATTTTTGTTTTTTGTAAGTCACAGAATCTGGTAAGTCACTATGTTAAACTTAAATATAAAATATGTTCATGTACAAGTCATATATCAGAGATACAGAAATTATAATAACAAGATGGTTTGAGACAAATGTAACATATTTACATGTAGATGTTTTTAATGATAGTAATAAAAGAAAAATATTGTAACCAATGCATGGTCTAATACCCAATGGTAAGCTAACATGAGGTTTCTGATTCAAATCAAATTAAATCAAAACATTTGTTATATTAACACACACAAGTAATTATCATATATCTCCCTATTTTAGAAAACTATATGCAATCATTTTTATATTGCACACTAGTGATGGACCTACCGTTGGAGTGGTCAGACCATAAGAGGCAGAAAATACAGCAAACTTCAAATGTGGGCATTGTATTTAAAATCTTCAATATGTATTTGACATGGCATCACATCCACAGCAAGGCATGCTGTCTGGCACAAAGAGCAGCTTTTTATAGCCACCACCCTAAGATGCTATCAAAAGCAGGGGTGATATTTACCTATGTCTAATTAATACATACAAATAAATCAACCAAACAGAAATCTAAGTCGTGTTTCATCTGAAACTTCAACAGGAGCTTTACGTGTATTTGTGAAGGAGGCGCACCAAAAGCCCCCAAAGGAAGTGGTTGGTTACTAAGTTACAATTTCAACACCTTTGTATATTTTGTATTGTATGTGCAGGTTTTCTTTTGATAGATACAGTGTGGGTGAAAAAGCTCAAGACAAATGTCCCAGTAAAGAGTTAATCTTGACTTTGACATTATTAGATTGCACAAAACCCAAAGAGGCTACTGTTACATGTGACCCTCTGTATTACAACATACGGTGCATCTAAATAGAATTGCACGAAAATACCAGATGATCATCAAGGAAGAATTAAGGAAAGGCAAATCAAAATGGAGCGTTCTCGTTACTCTTCATGTTTTCAACACAAGGATCTCCAGAAGTGTTGATGTGCTGAATCGTGTATTCCTTGTAAACAACTTTTTAAATTATGTTTTTTACTGTAGCGATTACCATCATAGGGTCACACATACAAAAAGAATGCTTAGTCATGACAATAATGCTTTTGCCGATAAAACTTTAAGTTCAGTGATACTGTAGATTGTAGCTGATTGCATCAACCGTCAAATAGTTCTAGTTATCTGAACAGTGGTGAAGTGGACTTTACTTGATCCATGTAGTGTGAGTTTAGTGTGTCTCTGGTAAACAGTGATTACCTGATGCTGTTTAGCTGCTGCTTTTTTGATAAGACGGATGGATTTTGACAATGTTGTTCAAATGACATTGATGTCTGTTTGTATTGCTACCAAAACGAGAAATGTGTGTGATTTGATCTCCTGTTTATATCTATAACTGATTTAATATAAGTTTATCTGAGATACAGAAGTCATAATAACAAGATAGTTTAAGACAAATGTAATATATTTTGATGCATTTCTTTTTAATGAGAGAAATAAAACTAAAATGTTCTAACCAATGCATGGTCGGTAAGCTAACATGAGGTTTCTGATTCAAATAAAATGAAATCAAAACATGGGCTTTTTTTCTCTTAACAAACGCATGTATTTATCTTATCTCCCTATTTTAGAAAACAATATACTATAATTTTTATTTTGCACACTAGTGTTGGACCTACTGTTAGACCATAAGAGGCAGAAAATACAGCAAACATCAAAAGTGGGCATTGTATTTAAAATCTTCAATATTTATTTGACATGGCATCACATCCACAGCAAGGCATGCTGCCCTGCCTGGCACAAAGAGCAACTTTGCATAGCCACCACCCTAAGGTGCTTTGTGTTTCGTTTCCACGTTGTCCTGTTTCTTATTCAGCTTTAAACTGAATCTGAAGCTTCTGCACAGACTCCCTCTGCTCGTGATTCGCCCTGTAGACTGCACAGCTGTGGAGTGGATGAGGAGCCACCTGCAGGGACTGAAAGTTAATCAACTAAATAAACTCAGATATCAAAAGAGCCAATAAGCATAAAACATTGTTTCAATAACATTATTGTTTGAGTAATGAAAAAGTTATGCTGACCTCTCCTCCCAACTGGACACAGAACTGGACATGACTCAGGATGTTGAGGTGTTAGTCCAGCTTTTCCTGCAGAGATAAAAAACACTTTCCAGTTTGAGTTCAGACACTTTATTATACGAGGAGTAATCATTCTGACTGGTATTTGCTTCAAAGGCCAATCCAGCTGCTCGGACCTACAGAACATAGCCATGATTTAAAGGGATCTCTTGGTTCAAATCTGTTTTATATGGCTAAACTATTTATATTTTACTGTCCATGATGCAGGATTTGTGTGGGTACTGTATGTGATCAGATTAGAAGAATGAAGGTTATTACAGTTAATTGGCTAGATAATGAACTGTCCAATATTTTGTAAATGTTCTTTATTCAAGTTTAGGGTTTATTTAACACTTGGTGTCCCTGCAACTGCACAGGTTCTCAATGTGTGGATGCCCATAGTGGGTTTTATATAACTGCAAACTCAAGCAGATAGAATGTCTTTATTACAAAATAAAACCACTGAGCTAAAATTAGCAAAACAATGTAAGGATCTTGTTCAAACAACACACTTTACACGTTACAAAATAAAAGAAGCAAATCTTTTTTGAAATGGGGGCAACACTTGACGGTTTGCATTGCAGACATTTTGAGTCGTCAGAGCATGAGAAGCACAGTTTGAAAAGCATGATGGCTGCTTTTTATTTAGGTGAGCCAGCTCCTGAGCTCTGCATGTGTGTGACTTGAGGAATAGAGTCATCATTAACATTAGTTACACCTTTACTTTTCTCACTTTGAGAAGTCAAAATGTTTGCCAAGAAAAGAGTTTGTGCAGTAATCGATCGACATCATCAACAGTTCAAATTATGCAATGGCATTTTACTGGAAAGAGTATTAATAATATTTTAGTAAATCTAGAAAATATGTAAACGTCTCACATTGTAACTATAGAGCACGGGACGACAAAAGGTGGAGGAAGTCATTTTCCAGCAAATATGAAGAAAAGGCACATTACTTAGAACATACATAAATGTAGCTCTTGTAATGACAATATGCTACACACAGGACTTAACAAAAAACTATTACTCACATGAAGAGGCAGACAACTGAAGTGAAAACACATAGCACTAGCAGCAATCCAATTACAGCTGAGAGTGTGTTTAGAAAAAACCACGATGGATCGACTCCTGCACAAAATCAGA